GAAACCATCTGGTCCTGGGCTTTTTTTGGTAGGGAGGTTTTTGATAACAGCTTCTAATTCTTCGCGACTTACAGGTCTGTTTAGATTGTTCACCTGGTCCTGGTTTAGTTTTGGTAAATGGTAATTATCTAAAAAAGTGTCCATTTCTTTTACATTTTCCAGTTTTGTGGCATACAGGCTTTTGTAGTAAGATCTAATGACTTTCTGAATTTCCTCTGTGTCTGTGGTTATATCCCCCTTTTCAGTTCTGATCTTATTAATTTGCATATTCTCTCTCTGCCGTTTGATTAGATTGGATAGGGGTTTATCAATCTTGTTGATTTTCTCCAGGAACCAGCTTTTTGTTTCATTGATTCTTTGGATTGTTTTCTGTGTTTCTATTTTGTTGATTTCAGCCCTCAATTTGATTATTTCAAGTCTTCTACTCCTCCTAGGTGAGTCTGCTTCTTTTTTTTTCTAGGGCTTTCAAGTGGGCTGTTAAGTCTCCAATATGTGCTTTCTCTGTTTTCTTTAGGTGGGCACTTAGTGCTATGAACTTTCCTCTCTGGACTGCTTTCATAGTGTCCCATAAGTTCAAGTATGTTGTTTCTTTATTTTCATTGAATTCAAGGAAGACTTTAATTTCTTTCTTTATTTCTTCCTTAATCCAGGTATGGTTCAGTAGTTCACTGTTCAGTTTCCATGAATTTGTAGGCTTTCTGGGGGTAGCATTGTTGTTGAATTCTAACTTTAATCCATGGTGATCTGATAAGACAAGGTGGTTACTAATATTTTTTGTAACTGTGTAAGTTAGCTTTGTTACCAAGTATGTGGTCAATTTTCGAGAAGGTTCCATGAGCTGCAGAGAAGAAGGTATATTCTTTCCTTTTTGGTTGGAATAATCTATAGATGTCTGTTAAGTCCATTTGCTTCATTACCTCCATTAATTCTCTAATTTCTCTGTTAGGTTTCTGTCTGATTGACCTGTCCATTGGTGAGAGAGGAGTGTTGAAGTCTCCTACTATTAGTGTGTGCCATTTGATGGCTGCCTTGAGTTTTAGTAATGTTTCTTTTACGTACGTGGGTGCTTTTATATTAGGGGCATAGATATTCAGGATTGAGACTTCTTCCTGATGAATTGTTCCTGTTATGAGTATAAAATGTCCCTCTCCATCTCTTCTGATTGATTTAAGTTTGAAGTCAACTTTGTTAGAAATTAGTATGGCCACACCTGCTTGTTTCTTAGGTCCGTTTGCTTGATAAGCCATTTCCCAGCCCTTTACTCTGAGTAGGTGCCTGTCTTTCTGGTTGAGGTGTGTTTCTTGTAGACAGCAGAATGTTGGATCCTGTTTTCTTATCCAATCTCTTAGCCTGTGCCTTTTTATAGGTGAGTTGAGCCCATTGATATTAAGTGATATTAATGACCAGTGGTTGTTAACTCCGGTCACTTTTTTAGTAGTATGGTTTGTGTGTTTCCCTTCTTTGATTTGCGCTGGTGAAGAGTCTCTAGATGTCTGAGTTATTGTGGTCATTGTTGGACTCCTTGGTTAGTGATTTTCCTTCTATTATTTTCTGTAAGGCTGGATTTGTGGCTACGTATTGTTTAAATTTGTTTTTATCCTGGAAAATTTTGTTTTCTCCATTTATAGTGAATGAAAGTTTGGCTGGATATAGTAGTCTGGGCTTGCATCCGTGGTCTATTACTTTTTGGAGATCATCTATCCAGGACCTTCTGGCTTTCATGGTTTCCATAGAGAAGGCAGGTGTAAGTCTGATAGGTTTACCTTTATAAGTAACTTGGCCTTTTTCCTTTGCGGCTCTTAATATTCTTTCTTTATTCTGTATATTTTGTGTTTTGATTATTATATGGTGAGGGGATGTTTTCTTTTGATCCAGCCTATTCGGTGTTTTGTATGCTTCTTGAACCTTCATAGGTACATCTGTCTTCTGGTTGGGAAAGTTTTCTTCTATAATTTTATTAAGTATATTTTCTGTATCGTTGAGCTGCACTTCTTCTCCTTCTTCTACTCCAATTATTCTTAGGTTTGGTCTTTTTATTGTGTCCCATATTTCCTGAATGTTTTGTTTTGAGAGTTTTTGGACTTGCTGTTTTCTTTGATCAGAGTGTTTATTTTCTCTGTGTTATCCTCATAATCTGAGATTCTTTCTTCTATCTCTTGTATTCTGCTGGTTATACTTGATTCTGTAGTCTCTATTCATTTACCTAGATTTTCCATGTCCAGCCGGCCCTCTGTTTGTGTTTTCTTCTTTGTCTCCATTTCAGTTTTCAAGTCATGAACTGTTTCCTTTATCTGCTTGATTGTTTTTCCTTGGTTTCCTAGGGTATCATTCACTGATTTACTTAATTCCTCGAACTTTCTATTATACTTCTCATCCATTTCTATAAGGGCATTTTTTATATGCTGTTTAAGCGTGTCAATCACTTTCATGAAGTCAGTTTTTTCTTCTTCTTCTTGATTAAGGTGTTCATGTCCTCCTGTTGTGGGGTCACTGGCTTCTGTTGGTTTCGTGTTGTTTTTCAGATTGTTGGGAGAATTCCTGCATTGGCGTCTGCCCATCTCTTCCTCCCAATACTCCCCTTTGGATCTTCTTTAACAGTATCAGGTCTTCTTGCCCACTGATGTACCTTCCCAGTGATGTCACTCCCCAGAGATGTTTCTCCACAATGATGTTTCACTTGGTGCCCAGATCGAAACTCTGCGCTGCTTGGTTAGCTCGCCAACAAAAGGCCCACCCTGCTCGCTGCGGGCAGTCTATGGGAACAAAGGAGCTACCGGCCATCCCTTTGTCCTCCCGGTTCGGGTTCGGTCCCAGCGCCCTAGCAGGCTGGGCAGGGAGGCTCTACGCCCCAAAGGAGGGAGGGAGTGAGGGAGACAGGGGGTGTGGGGATCTGGATGTAAGCTGAATGGGATAAGAAGAGAGAGCTACCTCTGTGCTTTTACAGCTCTAGTATTCTTTTTACTTTTCATTTCAAGTCAGAAACTCAATAATTTCCCCACAATAACCTTTAACTTTCTCCTAGTTTTAGTTTTTAAAGGATTTTAACTTTTTTATATGTTGGGTGTTTTGCTTTCAAATATGTATGCTTGTGCATTTTGTGACTCTTTCAGCCAGAAGATGGTATCATATCCCTTGGTGCTAGAGTTGCAAACAGTTATTAGCTGCTATGTGGGTGCTGAAAAACAGAACGCAGTTTCTCTACAAGAACAGCATATGTTCTTAAATACTGAGCTATCTATCACTTTAGTCCCTTATCGTTTTGTAAACATTTTCCATTATATTTGATATTGAAAATGTGTCTGTTGATGTCTTCACTGTTTTAATGGTTATTGTGAAAAATCTAAGCCTTTATAAATACTGAGGAGTATAGTTTTTTTTTCTCTCTTTACTGCTTGGGGGTCAGTCACCCAGCTCCCAAATAAATACTTGGAGACTTATTCTTACTTATGAATGCCAGGTCTTAGCTTGGTTTATTTCTAGACTTAATTTTACTTAAATTATCCCATTTGTCTTTTTCCAGTCTGCTTTTACCATTCTCTATTCTATACATCTTTGTTTACTTATTACTCTATGACAGTGTGGCTGGGCAGCTGGCCCCCATGATATCCCCCTTCCTTCTCATTTTATTTTGCTTCTCCTTTTCCCTTCTCCTCTTTATTCTCTCTGCCTTCCAGCTCCAACTATTTCTTTCTCCTGCCTAGCTTTTTCAGACCAATCAATTGTTTTAGGCGGCAAAGAAACACAGTTTCATGGAGTTAAACAAATGTAGTATAATATAATGCAGCACATCTTTCCATCATTAAACAAATATTCCACAGCATAGAAGAATGTAACACATCTTTAACTAATACGCCAGAACAGCAAAAGATCTGGAAGGAATCAGGAGAGGGTAATAAACATGATAAAGAATATTTTGTTTCAAAATGTAAATAAGGAGCAGAAGGAGAGAGAGCAGAAGCAAGGAACTCAGGACTGCAAGGGGTGCACCCACACACTGAGACAATGGGGATGTTCTATTGGGAACTCACCAAGGCCAGCTGGCCTGGATCTGAAAAAGCACGGCATAAAACTGGACTTGCTGAACATAGTGGACAATGAGGACTACTGAGAACTCAAGAACAATGGCAATGGGTTATTGATCCTACTGCACATACTGGCTTTGTGGGAGCCTAGGCAGTTTGGATGCTCACCTTACTAGACCTGGATGGAGGTGGGTGGTCCTTGGACTTCCCACAGGTCAGGGAACCCTGATTGCTCTTAGAGCTGATGAGGGAGGGGGAAGTGGTGTGGGGAGGGGGAGGGAAATGGTAGGCGTTGGCGGGGAGGAGGCAGAAATCTTTAATAAATAAATAAATAAATAAATTTTTAAAAAAAGGGAAAAATTAATTCTTCTCTTTTCATTTTTAAATTGTTCTGTTTTACTTTTTAACTGTTCATGAAAATTGGATAGAGAAAAACCAATTATAAATATATTTTGTTATATAACATTAAATATATATTTGCTATTATCCAAATACATAGTACTTTGAGCATATATCTACTATTTCCTGCTATTCTCCCCTTTCTTGCCCTCTCATCTGCTATTACTTCTTTTGTTCTCCTGGTCAATTTTTCTTTTACTTTCAAGTCACATGTACATAAATTATTTTATATATTCATATAAAGTATAATTCTTACAAGTGATATTTATTCTTGTGGGATTGATTTAATCAACAGTTGCATACACTTTGTTTAAACTTATATAATATGATTCTTCTTTATGGCTAAAATTTATATGTATGTATGTATATATAGATAGATAACAATTATATTAATTTTTTTCATCCATTCTTATACCAATAGCCACTCTTTTCAATGCTTCCTTCCCTATCATGAATAATGTTGCAATAAACCTAGATGTGTTAGAACCTCTATGATGCATTAATATGAAGTCATTAAAACAAACTTGTCAACAAATGACTGAATGAAATGAGAAGCCATTTCTTAAAACATAAAGTATGGTGCTCACTTCAGCATCACATATACTAAAATTAGAATGATGTAAAAAAGATTAGTATGGTCCCTGAACAAAGATGACACATAAATTTGTGAAGTGTTCCTTAGTTTTTCAAAGAGGAGTCCCAGTGAGGTCCTAGCATCAATAGTTTAGCAGAAACCAGAGGCCTCAAACTAGACCAATGACTCTTTGCAAATAACACTTGCACACAAAGACATATGGGTAAAAGAGGGTAATGCATGACTCACTATGTCACACTACAGCTTTCATGATTAGTCTTTCTGTTTTTTTCTTTTTTCTCTTAAATTTTATTTTATTTTGTGTGTGAGAGTTTATAATGGCAATGAGGAAATATGAAGGGACAAGAAATAGTTGGGGTTGAGATGCATGATGTAAAACAAAAAGGATAAGTAAAAAGAACGTTTATAAAAAGCATCATGTTTTTACAAATGGGCAATTAATATGTGAAAAATGTCCAACATCAATAATTATCAAAGAAATCTAAATTAAAATGATATTGTAATTCTATCTCATTCTACACATAATGACAGTCATTAAGAAACCAATTAAGTAACAGTGAGGATTTGAAAAAAAGGAAATTCTTATGCACACCTGGTAGGATGTAAACTAGTACATTCATTATGGAAATCAGTAGGGACACTCCTCATAAGACTAAAACAGTATCACATGAATATATCACATGATCCAGCAATATTAACCCTGGCATTTTCCCAGTAATCATTTTTCCTTCTTTTAGGCTCAAATTTTTATAGGATATAATATAGAATTGGCTCAAAACAAATAATTCAAAGTTGGAAAATTAAGTTAATAAAGTGCTGTTCAAAATATTTCCCATACTGACTCTTATTGCTAACAAGAACAACATTTTTCAGACCATTTTTGAACATTGATTTCAAGTACCCATTTCTTTATCTTCTGTAGCTTAATAAACCAAAAATCATTTCTTTATTTGCTTGCAAAGAAAGTTCTTTCTCTTCCCTTCCATGCTCATTGCTAGAATGGTAGTCAAAATATTTCCCACCTAAGACAAGGAAAATTCAAAACATTAATTTCTGCCATATCTCATATTTGAAGAGTTATTTTTGCTGGTGAATTGAGTTGGATCCATGGAACTCATGGAAAGGTAGAAGGGAGAACCCACTCCATAAAAGTTGGTCTATGATTTTCTCAAGGTAATATATACACAAAATCCATCTCTCTTTCCCTTTCTGTGGTGTGGAGAATTGTCTGTATTCTGTCAATCATGTTTTAAATGAACACTGATTGGCTAGTAGCCAGGCAGGAAGTATAGGTGGGACAAACAGTCAGGAAGTAGAGGTAGGGTAATGAGTACAGGAGTATTCTGGAAAGAAGGAAGGTCTTCCCACAGTTCTGTCCAGACACTGAAGAAGCAGGATGTGACCTGCCCTGATGAAAAAGGTACTGAGCCATGTGGCTAACATAGATAAGAATAATGGGCTAATATAAATTATAAGAGCTAATATGAAGCCTGAGATAATGGGCCAATCAGTTTATAACTGATGTAGACCTCTCTGTGTGATTTTCCTTAGGACTTAATGAATACGGGAACTGGGCAGGACAGAAACCCCAACAAGCAGGCCCTCATGTTACATTCCTCTGTGTTTTTTCACATACAGTAATAATAATAAATAATATTTTGAAAGAAGAAAACATAATGATACATATATGAAAATTGTTATATATCATAGAAAAATAATACTTTGTATGCCAGCAAAAATTAATTTAACATATACTAATTTTTATGTAAAAAGTATTTTTATTATGTTAAAATATGTCCTGAGCAGCATTTATTTACATGGAGAGTTTAAAAAAACTGACTTGTGATTATTTGCCTTGTCCTCAATTAGAGACATGATTACACACATTCCTAGTAGTTTCTGAAGCAGATCTGTCACATCCCATCACAGAAGAAAGTACAGGATGGACAGTGTTCTCTTCTGAACTTACATCTTTAGAACGGTTGGAATGCTTTTCCCTGAGTACGTCAGGTGGAAGCCTCTGTTAATTTGGTCGAAGGATAGAGTGTCAGTTACACATTCATCAACTTTTATCTCTTTTGACATATATTCAGACACCAGCTTTGGGACACTCTCTACACTCTTCCATCCTCCAAGGAGTGCCTTTCCACGTGCATCCTGTCACCAACTGGAATTGGTGAGTGGAGACTTCTTCACCTGAAGCAGCTATGCCAACCACCACACTAACTCCCCAGCCTTTGTGCGCCACCTTGAGGCTGCTCTCATGACCTTCACGTTGCCGAAGCACCCCAAAGAGTAATCTACTCCCCCATCTGTCATCTCAGTGAGTACTTCCTGGATGGGTTTACTGAAATCCTGGGGGCTAGTACATTCAGAGGCTACAAATTCTTTGGCCTTTGCGAATTTATCTTTATTGATGTCAATACCAATGATCCGGGATGCACCAGCTACTTTACAGCCCATGATCACTGCTAATCCAACTCCTCCCAGGCCAAAGATGGCACAGGTAAAACCAGGTTCCACCTTGGCAGTGTTCACAGCAACACCATAGACAGTTAAAGTGCCATGCCCGAGAAGGCAGACTTTATCCAAAGGTGCTGAAGGATCAATTTTAGTAACGGAGATGTCAGCCACAACTGTGTACTCAGAAAATGTGCTGGTTCCCATGAAATGAAAAATAGACTTTCTTTGCATATACTAGTGCCATCTGGCATTAATCCATTCCTCTGAGTGACTCATATCTTCTGGCAAAGGTTTGTTTTGGGATTCACACAAAATTTGCATTCTCCACATTGTGGGATGTAAAGTGGGATGACAGTGTAACCTGCCTTCACCTTAGTTACCCCTTCACCCATGCTTTCCACAATCCCTGCCCCTTCATGTCCCCAAATCACTAGGAAACACCCGTCAGGATCAGTTCCACTCAGAGTATAGGCATCTGTGTACAAACGGCGGTGGCAATGATCTTAATATGAACTTCATGAGCCTTGGGAGGTGCTACTTCAATTTCTTCTATGGAGAGAGGCTTTCCAATTTCTGAGGTGACTGCAGCCTTGCATCTGATCACCTGATTCACCATGTCCGCAAGTTGGGGTTCCTGAGCTGAATTTCAAGCAACAAGTCTAGAGGATCCCGGTATGGGCTGGTCATGCATGAGGGGCAGGGCTGAGTGCAGGGGAGGAGCTATGATGCAGAGGCGGTGTGAGGGGCGGGGCTGAGTGTGGGGGCGGGGCTATGATGCAGAGGTGGCGTGAATAGGTTCCTTTTTTTTAAAAGTGTGTAGCCCAGGCTGGCCTCAAACTTGTGATCCTCCTGCCTCTGCCTTCTTCAGCAAATCCTACCGGCATGCACTACCACAACCAGTACTAAAATATTTTTTTTTTGATTTGGAAGTATTTTATTGAGGATTTTTGTTTACATCAAGGATATTGGTATGTAGCTTTCTTTGTTGCTGTTCTTGTGTCTTTATCTGTTTTTGTTATTAAAGTAATACTTTATACAAGAAGTTTGTAAGTGCTCCTTCTGTTTTTATTGTTTTAGTTTCTTTTTTTTATTTACTTATTAAAGATTTCTGCCTCCTCCCCGCCACTGATCAGAAGCAGATGGAGAGAGAGCACGAGCAAGGAACTCAGGACAGCGAGGGGTGCACCCACACACTGAGACAATGGGGATGTTCTATGGGGAACTCACCAAGGCCAGCTGGCCTGGGTCTGAAAAAGCACGGGATAAAACCGAACTAGCTGAACATAGCGGACAATGAGGACTACTGAGAACTCAAGAACAATGGCAATGGGTTTCTGATCATACTGCACATGCTGGCTTTGTGGGAGCCTAGGCAGTTTGGATGCTCACCTTACTAGACCTGGATGGAGGTGGGTGGTCCTTGGACTTCCCACAAGTCAGGGAACCCAGATTGCTCTTTGGGCTGACGAGGGAGGAGGACTTGGTGGGGGGAGGGGGAGGGAAAAGGGAGGCAGTGGTGGGGAGGAGGCAGAAATCTTTAATGAATAAAATATTTCTTTAAAATCCAAAAAGCAAAAGTTATTGAATTAATCTTGTTTCTCACATATTTATAGAACTTAAAATAGTATAAATCTAAGTAGGTTTGCATAAATTCAAGAAGAATTAGAAAAACTTTCTTTGAAACAGTATCTTCCTATATAGCCAGGCGGACCTTGAACTCAAGACATGGTCTCCTCTCCTAAGTACCTGGTCAAATGTTACTATTTTTAGTTGTGCATTGATGCACACTTCATGCATATCTTCGGTGCAATTTAATTGTTTGTTTTGCATGTGAAAAAGCTGGAAGAACATGACGGTTGTAAGAAACCAAATCTGAATGAGGATCAGATATGAAAAAAATGCTTATTTTAATTTTTTCTTTATGTAGCCTACTTCAAGTCTGTTTTTTACCTAAAAACCAAGAGTAATTTCAGATGAATACTGAATGTGTCATATCATCAAGTCTCATGAGACCATGCTTACTTTGACCTTGCAAGTGAGAGGTGAGTATGACTTTTGTAGAAAATAATTAAGAATTTGCTGAAGTTAAGCTGGATATATCAATTGGCAAAAGATAAAATGTTACTTGTTCTTCAATGAGATGGAAAGTGAACTAAAATAGAATGTCTACAGAGGAAACATTTTTTTTTACTTTTTCCATTGGTTTTGGGCTTAAGCACTCCACCTGGAATACACCTGCTAGCAGGACACTCTGATGAATGGGAAGATGAGTGTTAGCTGGCTCAGAGTAAATAATTATGAAAGCAAAATTATTTTCATAGTCTTTGTTTGGTTTATGGTGATAATGAGATTTCTGTTCTCTATCATTTGAAAAGATTATTAGATTTCATGGAGCAACTTTTATGTGCATTTATTTTTCTTAGCCTTAGCCTTTCTGAAAAGGTTAAATCCTATCATTCTCAGAAGCAGTTTGCATTTATTTTATTGTGTATTTCCATTTTACCTATGAAAACAAGTTTTATCTGTAAAATTGAGGCTGGAGATATAGCTTAGTGAGTAAGACAGCTTGTTGCTCCTCCAAAGGACATAAGTTTGATTCTCATTTCCCACGTGTGGGCTAACTCCATT